CCACTTCCGCGGTGGGCAGAGCCGCCTCCGGGCGGCGCTGTGCGGGGGCGGCTGCGGCCGGCAGTGTGCGGCTGCCCCGGGACAGGTACTCTCCTACCTGTCCGTAGGTAGGAGGTTCCGTGTGCGTGGCCTTGGCGTGTTTCCACTGCAGAGTGAGCACCCCCGGAACCTTCCGTCACGGCAGAGTAGCGCTGTACACTAGTGCAGCTCTTGAGTGGGAAGAGCAACTGGAAGTGATTGTTGAGGTGTGAGATGGACTGGGAACGGTGGCTCGTAAATGGAAGACCTTGATGACGGGTGTTTGGTCGGTGGTTTGTGTGCGGAACAGCTTTCACTTGGGCACGGCTTGGAGCCGCTACCGCCGGCAGGAGCGTGCCTAATGCATTAGGCTACTGAAACCTGGGCTCTTCCAGTCTCCCAGCGTCAAAAATAGAAACTTTTTTGTATTTAAATACAGCAGTTCTTTCTTAATAACAACAAAAAAAAAATTAACACCCAACCCAACAACCCACCCCAAAAAGCCTAGTTATTTCACAGAATATTCCCAAGTAGAAGGGATCCACAAGGATCACTTGAGTCCAACTCATAGCTGAATGGCCTATATGGGAATTGAAACCACAACCCTGGTATTATTATTGTTAGCACCGTGCTCTAACCAGTTGGGTCAGCACTTTTTACACAAAGCCAAGTGTCCTATGATAGAGCTGCTTCTATGTGTCTCTAAAGCTCTATTCATGTGAGCATACTAGTAAAGGATATTTGATTTTTTTTACTACGCTAATGTAGGAAGGTAAAAATTACTATGCTCTTTTAAAGCAGGTAACAGATCAGCCAGTCTCAAACTGTCCTTCCTTCATAAATACACACATTAATAGTGAAGAAAAAAAAAGCAGCAGTATAATCTTTGGAACTTTATTTGGAAGCACATTTGAAAACAAACAAGGTTCTGCAGTTTTTTGGGTTTTTTTTTTTTGTAAACAGATTTTTCCAGGCTTTAGTTTTCTCAATATTCATCTCCTTCTTCAGCCTCTGCTTCTACTGAGTCTAGGCCAACTTCTTCATAATCTTTCTCAAGGGCAGCCAGGTCTTCCCGGGCTTCGGAAAATTCACCTTCCTCCATCCCCTCCCCAACATACCAATGCACAAAGGCACGCTTAGTATACATGAGATCGAATTTGTGGTCGAGCCGAGCCCATGCCTCTGCAATAGCAGTTGTGTTACTCAACATACACACAGCCCGCTGCACCTTGGCAAGATCAGCACCTGGCACCACAGTTGGAGGCTGGTAGTTAATGCCCACCTTCAAGAAAACAAATGAGAACTTTCCTTAAGAATACTAAGGCTTAAATGCTCATTTCTCTTAATCAAAAATCACCATGATTACAAATAAATTAAAGAGCTTAGAGTTATTTTACACTTTATCAAAGTATTTAACAGGGATATGACAACACTGTAGCGTGACTGTCACCTCTGAAGATTACACAATTCCTAATCATTTAGATATTGAGCACTTAAAAAGCTACATACCTTGAATCCAGTTGGGCACCAATCCACAAACTGAATGGTACGTTTAGTCTTGATAGTGGCAATGGCTGCATTGACATCTTTGGGTACAACATCGCCTCTGTACAGCATGCAGCAGGCCATGTACTTGCCATGGCGAGGGTCGCATTTGACCATCTGGTTGGCTGGTTCAAAGCAAGCGTGGGTAATTTCAGCCACAGATAACTGCTCATGATATGCTTTTTCAGCAGAGATGATAGGGGCATATGTTACCAAGGGGAAATGGATTCGTGGGTATGGAACCAGGTTAGTTTGAAATTCTGTCAGGTCTACATTGAGGGCTCCATCAAAACGCAGTGAGGCTGTGATGGATGAAACAATTTGCCCAATTAATCGGTTTAAATTGGTGTAAGTAGGACGGCCAATATCCAGATTACGACGACATATATCATAAATGGCTTCATTATCTACCATAAAGGCACAGTCTGAATGCTCTAATGTTGTGTGGGTAGTTAGAATTGAGTTGTAGGGTTCCACTACAGCAGTGGAAACTTGTGGCGCTGGATAAATCGCGAACTCCAGTTTAGATTTCTTGCCATAGTCAACAGACAGCCTTTCCATGAGCAGTGATGCAAACCCTGAACCAGTGCCTCCTCCAAAACTATGAAAGATAAGGAAGCCTTGCAGCCCTGTGCACAGGTCAGCCTAGAACAAGGTGTGAAAAAATTGGAGAAAAAAGTTATTGATGGTTTTGGAGTAGTAAGTATTAAAATAATAATTCAAAAGCATCTCTGTCATACATTTGATATTATAACATTGTTACAAAAAACAAAACAGTGTTCTTCAAAGGTCCTGGTTTAACTGATTGAATTTTTATTTAAAGGGGGGGTAGGTAAGGCCAGGAAATAAAAGGTTTATTTTGTTTTGAACAATTAACTATGCACAAAATTCTTAACGAAAAAACAGCAAACCATCAGTATAGCTAGCTATAGAGCTGTATCAATTATTTCAAATACTAACTTGTAACATGAATCCTTACCAGTTTGCGAATGCGGTCTAGCACTAGATCAACAATTTCTTTTCCAATGGTATAATGGCCTCTGGCATAATTATTGGCTGCATCCTCTTTCCCAGTAATGAGCTGCTCAGGATGGAATAACTGCCTATATGTGCCTGTACGTACTTCATCTACAAAAAAACCCAAAATACCACATCATAAATTTGATCAGTTCTTTGTGTGTGTTTAGTGACTACACACGAAGACCACATGTCAAAAGCGTGTAGACAGCATCTCCGACTACATGCAGCTTGTCTGACTAGTCTAAAAAGTTGGCACAACTTCTGCCCCTTTGTTTCAGAGTAAACATCAGGCACACACAAATTAAATGTGTACTCAAGGAACAACACAGAGATCACTCAGAAAACTACATTACAGGTACAGACATGATAACAGCACTGAAACAAAACTCTGTATGCAGTGCAGTGCAGCAGTCTGGAAAGATGATCCAGACTACAAAAAAGTTCTCTCGTTCTCCAGATATTGTTACCTGTACACCATTATTTAATTTCTTTCAAATAACAATAACTGCAAATGTCAAAACAGCATCTAAATACACATTTTAAACTCTAGAGTGCTCTAAACAAACAAAAAAAAAGACACTAGGGAATCCTTAAAGGATTCTCACTTTTTCACTTAAGACCTTTACTGTTGGGTACATACCAACTACGGTTGGCTCTAGGTCTACAAACACTGCTCTCGGAACATGTTTACCAGCTCCCGTCTCACTGAAGAAAGTGTTAAATGAATCATCTCCACGTCCCATAGTATTATCACTAGGCACTTGACCATCAGGCTGGATCCCGTGTTCAAGACAATACAATTCCCAACATGCATTGCCAATCTGAACACCGGCCTGACCAACGTGGATGGATATGCATTCACGCTGCAAAGTAAAAAGAGAATGATAATGAGATGTGGAGCTACCCGCCTGTGGGTTGTACTTTCCACGATCTTTCTCTGCTGCAATGTTCCCTGGTTACTCTTAAATGACAATTTAAGAGAACAAGTTGTCTCCTGCTGGCAAGACGCTACTCACCTTTGCTGACCTGCACTGACTGTGAATATTGGAAGACCCTAAAGACAACATAGTCTCTATGAACACATGAGTGAATACAAATTCATTACCCCTTACAATGCTGCATATATATTCCATATTTAATATACCTAGTCTATTTTTCACCTTCTTTTAGTTTTTGGAAGACCTCTTTATATAATATCCCCACAATTTTCTTGACTTGTCACCAGACCATGTACCAGGTAACTGTTGCAAGAATCCTTCCTGCACAGAACCATTCAGTACCTTTTCCTTTATAATAAACATGCCAGTATCTAGGCCCTAGCAATTACTACGTATTTTCCCCCTATATGTTCCTATGTGAAATCATCTTAAGAGTCACAATTAAATGTAATATGCCCCCTTTAAGCTAGCTCCTTTGATTCTAAGTGACCATGCCATATATGCTTAATCTTCCAATACCTGAATTGCCTTACACCTGAGGGAAATAAGGTGGTTTTCTAGTTTACTGTTAAGGGTGTATCTAGAAAAAAAGCAGAGGTGGACAAGAAAAAGCAAGGTGCCCGGGCTGCTTTCCCTTTTCCTCGGTAGCTTCATCAAATCCCGCAGTCTCCCGCAGACCCGTCACGAGATTCGCGCCGCCCGCCGAGCCCCCTCACCGCCGCCGGCCACACCTCTTCCTCTGATTGGCTAGGCCCAGAGAGCGGCTCCCGGCGCGCGCCGCCTGCCCCGTCCCTCGTCGCCTGTGGAGCACGCGCTGCGCCTTCTACGGCTTCACGCGCCAAGGCGGCTCAAAACCGGCATATAGATCCGGCCGGCGGCCACCATGCTCTGTCCCGCTATCTGCCCGCCGCCCGATGGAGGTTTCAGTTTCTTCCCTCGCCTCTTAGCGCGGGAGGTGCCTGCTCCGAATAGACTTCCCTTGCACATAATCTTGTCTTGCTAGCTATCGGCCGATTTCTATGCCTCGCCTCCCCTGAGGCGAGGCATAAAAATTCCCTATTAAGCTTTCACACTAATTTCTCTCCTTCTCCCCAACCCTTCTGCCTTAGAGCTACCGCGGGGACTTCAGGCAGAGACTGCCTGTGAGTTCTGCCGCAGCACGTGCAGTCAGGAACTCTCCTGAAATGCAACAGAAGCAGTCCCAAACGCTCTCCCCCGCCCCGCAGCCACAAGGATCCCGTCTCCCAAATGCCCCTTCTCCCCCCGCAGCCGCAAAGATCCCGTCTCCCACCATGGTGCCTCGCTAAGGTGACGAACTCCGACTGCGCCACAACACGACCGTCGCTGAGACCGACCAGAACCAACTGCCGACCGTTAACCGCCTCGAACCCCTCGCCTCAGGTGCAGGCTCCCATTGGCCATTACCCGCGCGGACTGGGCGCGAGGGAAGGTG